CCTGTGTGAATTTCTACAGTCCTGGGTGACATTAATCTTGAGAAAGGAATTTAAATAGCAGCCTAAGGAGTTCAGCACTGAGATGAGTTTTTAAAATAAAGATTAAAAAAAAAGTTTTGCACAACTGCAAGAAGACAGACGGATGCGCCAAGATTGGCACATTGAGGACAGAAAGCAGACGTATCTTCAAAGAATCTATGGCGCTGGTTGGGAAAGGCACGTTTGTCTATTTTACATCTTTTATTCTCTCTTCCACGTGATATTTGGGATTCTGCAGAACTCTTCTTTTTGGACTATAAAGGAATACTATAAATGTCTTTAGCAAATTCATGAATTCTAAGGAGGGGAAGGGGTAAGAATGAGAAAGATAATAGGAAATTCTGCTTCTTTCATTTAGTATCTTGACACACACAAAAAAGGCACTCCATATGTGCGTGGTTTAAGAATAGTTTTCCACTTTAAACTTGTTCTTACCCTGTCCAACACAGCAGCGTGGAAAAGCGCATTGCTTCTATTTGAATAACACAAAGGGATGCTCGACTTAGTACATGGCTCAAAAATCCTATTTACTTCCTCTGGGCCCCATTGCTCCCCACTGCTCCACCCATTCTACGCACTCCCAGAGGACGAACCACCCACTATCCACCACCCCCAGGATGGAGTGACTTCTTCTCTGGAGAGCTACTTCTCTATCAGATATGACTTTAATCTCTTCTTGCCTCTAAGTAGGAAGCTGGCAGGGAGAGTTTGGAAATTGCTGGAACAGAGGATTTTCACTTTGGGTTTTTTCCCTTCTTCTCCTTAGGGTATCTGAAGAGAATATTTAATATCTTGCTTGACTGAGAGTCCATCATGATCGGTTACCTGAGATTCCAATCACAAACTCTTCCTGGCCAAGCTTTCCAAAGTGGCGGATAATGTATGGCCAAAAAGGGAGGGTACAGAGACTCTTCCCCTGTGAGGTGGAGCAGAGTAAGAGCTCAGAGTGCTCCATGGAGGTGTCTAGACAGAGCGGTGAGTGGCCAGGGGAACAACAGGGAGCCAAAATCCTCCACTGATTCATGATTCATTCATTCAGTGAATATTTACTGCGCACATCCTATGTTCCAAACACTGAAGGCAATAGTAACTTCACAAATCAACAAAATCCCTATGTCACAAATCTTGCTTTCTAGTGTGGGAAATAGATGAGAAACATGATAAATTAATGCATCATATAATATTCAATATAGTGATGGATACTGAGGTGAAAAATACAGTAGGAAGGGAGGATTGGAAGTGTACATGTATGGGTGTGCATGTGTGTGTGGGTTGTTGCACACAATGGGACTATCAGTGAAGGCTTTACTGAGAAGGTAATTTTTTTGAAGAAAGATCAGAAGAAAGTGAGAGAAGGAGCCATAGGATTCCTGAAGCTGGAGGATTCTAAGTAGAAGGATCAAGTGGAAAATCCCTGGCATGGGATTGTGCCTGGCCTATTTGAGGAATGGTGATGAGGCCAGTGTTTGTAGAGAAGAGGAAGCCAGAGGACCAGTAGTAAGAGATGAGGTTGGAGGGGATGCAGCAAGGGTCACACCATTCAGGGCATAGATAAAGACATTGGTTTTTACTCCAAGAGAGATGGTAGCTATTGCAAGGTGTTGAATGGATGAATGACCTGATCTTCCATTTTTAGTGGATTATGGTGAGAATCAGCTGAAGGGAGTGAGGACAGAAGCAGAGAGATGAGTTAAGAGACAAATGAAATAATCCAGCTGAATTTGTCAGAGAATGAGCAGCAGTTTATAGGCTATTTATGGTCTGTAACATATCCTTTACAAGGTGGGTTCTAACAACCAGCGCCAAAAATTGCCTAATCACTTCATTGTTTACCCAGAATCAGGCTGGCACAGCCAAGCAGGTGGAAACCATTCCAAGTACAAGTGCATAAAACAGCCAGTTACCCTGCTTTTGGCACAGATCTCCCATAACGGATTCTTGTGTTTACGTTGCTGGAGGTTTGTGGTTCCTTTCTATAACCGCTTCAAAAGAGCCACATAGTCTGCATTTCCCTTTGCACTTTCTTACAGAAACAGCAATTGACCTATTATATTTATTTAGGAGCTTGTGCCCACTCTAACAATTAATTTAAAGTTTATAGAAAATTAAAGTGCCCTCTCATATGCTGGACTGGATCCTGGGACATGAATGACAAAAGTGGTGAAATCTAGATAAAATCTGTAGTTTAGGTTAGAGTATTGTACCAATGTTAATTACTTAGTTTTAACATACTGTGGTTAATGTGGCAAACATTAAGATGTTAACCTTGGAAGAACTGGAGTGAAGACTAACCTGCGAACTTGAGGTACTATCTCTGCAACTCTTCTGCAGATTTAAAATTATTCCAAAATAAAAAAAATGTTTAAAAAAGCCCTCTTAAAGGGAAAAGAAAAACATAAGCATGACTACTTCAAAAGAGCTGTTTTCAGAGAGAAAATGATCCACAGATATATCCTGCACATTTAGTAATTTTTATCCACTGTTAAGAAGTAGGTTGCTATCACCACATATATAGTTAGAAAGTAGTTCTCTTTTTCATGATTTCATTTAGATCGAGCTGCATTTCAACACTTCTCTTGCCTCCTGCATTAAATGTACATGCACTACTTATACTCCCACGGATCTAGTCTGCTTGGGAAATAGGTATTTTTCAAGAGTGTTTGCCAACCCAAATCCTTGTCACTTGTTGGTTTCCTTTCTTTTTGCCTTCCTCTAGTCTTCCAGGTCTTCATTTTTGCTGTGGACCACACCTTCATGGAACAAATGCAACTGAATGCAACTGGTCCTTGAAGTATAGCCCATTTTTTTCTTTCCCAAAACCTAAATATAACGTTGTTTTGTTTGCTGTGCTGAAGCTCCAGGGAAAGAAATTTATCATCGTGCTAAAAAAAAAATCTGATCTTCTCAATGTGTAATTGTTTAGACCAGAAATGATGAATGCAAATGCTTCTAAGAGCCAGGCAAGCAGTGTAAAGGTGTAAGGCAAGCAAGGTAATGAATAACAAACTTCTGCTAAAGCCTACCTGGCCTTTAGATGGTTGTTTTGATTTTTTTGCGAAGTTGTATCTTTTTTAGAATATCAGTGGAAGCTTTGAGTCTGTTTCCAAGCAAGGTGCTTTATAAATATTGGTTATTATTTGATCAGGTATGAAGGGAAAATGTGACCTGCTGCAGTTTGAAGTGGTAACCACGTAGGAACAAAATATATGTTTCCACATAAGACGGGGAAAAGCTTAATAAGGTTTTAAATGGCTGCAGATCACACAATGATGCTGAGGTCTTTGAGAGTATGTCTTTCTTTTAAAAATTTTTGTTTATTTGAGAGAGACAGAGATAGCAAGAGAGAGCAGAGTGGGGAGGAGAGGGAGAAGCAGGCTCCATCCTAGGACCCCAGGATTATGACCTGAGTCCAAGGCAGATGCTTCACTGACTGAACCACCCAGGTGCCCCTTTGAGAGTATTTTTGAGTCACTAAGGCAGGGCTGCATTTAAATGATCATAGATAGGAGATGTAACCTTAACCAAAAACATCTTACACAGGCACCCTCCTGTTTATTGAGCAACAAATTCCTGTGTCATATAATGCGTTAGGCTAAGAAAGCTTTTCTTGGGGTATACTTTCCATTTCTATTGCTATAAATGAAGTCCGTGGTGATTGATACTAGTAGGAGCCGCCTAATATTATTAATATTCCAGGGATGCTTTAGTGAAATGTTTAAGGTGCAAAGTATTAGATCAGATTACCAACTGGCTTAAGCAGCCAGTATTAGGATCATGTGCATAATCAAAACCATTTGGAAGTGGAACATGCAGTGATGTTCTGGACCTTGACTCTCCTTCATGCCTTGGGTATCCCAGGCACAGGTAGAGAACATCTTTTTGGATCTGCTTGGCAAAACCCAAGGGGAGCTGGGACAGCTCACCCAAGAATGCTACTTCAGTATCCTGGTTGTTCTAGCCACGTCATGGGGAAACCTGTATATAGACAAGCCACAGACACCAACCAGGCTGAGGCATGTTCTCCCCCACACAGCAAAACCAGGGACAATGATGAAAAAACTCCCCCACAATGCACTCTAGTCACCTCCTGGCATCTGAAATCCTTGAGAACGAGGACAGCACTAGCATTCCACCCAGCCTGCAATTTCCCCCTCATAGCCTCCTGCTAAAAGCAGATTAAATTGCTAGGATAAATTCACCCTATCCAATTTTAGTCCTTGCTTTAGCATATGCTTTACTGCGAGGAGAAGGCTATAGTAACAGGATTGAACGCAACTGAACCCAGAACAATAGTCCTTTCTGTGCCAAAAGATAGATATTTTAAATTTGGGAACTGGGGCTATTCATTTCTTTCCATTTTAAATCAAGAAGTGAGATAAAAAAGAAGGATTCCAAGGTGGAAAGGTTAGTGCTTATTTAAGCAACCAATGTGGCTTCTGCGTGCGCCACAGTTCTGGGTATTATGGAAATGCATTCCTTCATGATTCTGCATAGCACCTCTGGCTAGGAAAATAGTCAAGCCACTCCTTCACCTCACCCTCGCATATACAAATAGCAACGAGGCTATGCATGGAGGATGGTGAGGGATTCCATCGTGGAGATCAAGTCATACTTATTTACACAGTAGCATGACAGATATTTGCATTCTCTGCAAGCTCTTATTGCCATTTCACTAATCTCAAATAAAAATATTTTTCAGGTGTATTAAAAAAATCCATTTGAGGAGTCAGTAGTGGCCAAGAGTTTTGGGTGGGACCATCAAAGCTGAGGGCTAAATGTTTATCCCTGGCGATTTCTAAAAAAAAAAAATAGTTGGGTGTTAACTTATCGGAGATGACATAAACTACTCTTACTTGGCTCTAGGGCAAGGAGTGGGAGGCTTTGGCAGTCCCTCCCACCAACTGAGCCCAGGAGAGATGGACACACTGGGTAAGAGCAGGTTTCATGCAGCCTCTCCTCACCTCCCCCCAGGCAGCAGGTGGGGGCTCCACTGGAGGGTAGTACTTAGGCACATCCCAGGCCACTGCAGCCATGAACCATTTGAAGTCCTTGCACTTGAGCTGTTTGCGCAGCTCCTTCTGGGCAGAGATGTCCCCGGTGGACAGGTGCCTGTATTCTGGGCGCCGCTGGTAAATATACTCGGCGAATTCATCCATCCAGGTCTCAGCCACCCGCTTCAGGTTCTGTGCAGCAGAAAAGAAGGTCATTTATTGACCAGTGCGCTCAAGGGGTGATTTTAGGTGTGCTAGAATTGAAAAAAGTGCAAGAAATTAGACAACCTCAGACAGTGCTGGTGGGTCACTTATTAACAAATGGGAGTTTTCATAACTTCAAGGGTGTGATATAGTTAGTCTGAGGCCTTGCACTAACATACATGGGTTCAGCTGCCAGTTGATAATTTATCAGAGTCAGTAAAATTTCAGCTTACAATTACACTACTTTTCCCTCCTGTTATTTCATGATTACAAATTCTTTATTTTTCACACAGAACTAAAGGAGCTGAAACTGGAGATAATGAAGTTCTTTGGCATCAAATTGCTCAAACCATTTCAAAGAACAGTTAGGGTCTTGGAAAGAAAGAGGACAAACAAGCTGTTATTCTTCTCTCCCAATTATAGACAACCCAGCATTACTAAATTGAAGACCTTGTGTTCTGATGATATTTTCTATGTACAAGTCTGCTAAGCAGAATTCAGTAATTTACTGCATAATGAAGCATAATGAAGCTAAGGGAAGCACCGAGTAGCCGGTCTTCTCTGCAGATGTTTCCACAGGTGAAGGAAGTAGAAGGAAGGTAGGAAAATAAGCATGCTCTTTAGGGGCGGGAGACTGTGTAGGCTCAGGGTAGGAAGCTCAGCCCTTTCATCAGTTTTGAGACAGAGCAAATAACTTATCCACTTCTGGCCTCAGATTCCTCACCTGAGAAGGTACAGATAATAATACATACCTCATGAGAGTGGTTGTAGGATTAAGTGAAGTCACACCCATAAAGTGGTTGGGATAGTACTCGGCACATACTGGGTACTATGGGTATTATTATTATTATTAATTATTAGAAGAAAGTAATTGGAGGGTTGAACTGAAGGGTTCCCTGGTCTTTAGCTGCAATGAGATGTCCTCTGACATCCCTTAGAGCTCTATCATATTGAGCGCTAGTGAGAACAGCTGTGCTATCTAGAGGGTCTGAGTTCTGACCTCCCCAGTTTGTAGCATGGCTTCAGGTGTTGGTGTCCTGTAGGTGTCCCATGGCTCTGGTTCTTGTTTTGTGTTCAAATTTCTTGTATCAAGTGCCCTGTGAACATGCACTCTTTCCAGTTTCTCATTTGTACTTAGAAGATCATTGAGCAGAATGGCTGGAAACTTTAATAAGATCCTGGCATAAGGGGATCCCTGGGTGGCGCAGCGGTTTGGCACCTGCCTTTGGCCCGGGGCCCGATCCTGGAGACCCGGGATCGAATCCCACATCGGGCTCCCGGTGCATGGAGCCTACTTCTCCCTCTGCCTATGTCTCTGCCTCTCTCTCTCTCTCTCTCTGTAGGACTATCATAAATAAATAAAAAAATTAAAAAAAAAAGATCCTGGCATAAGTCACTGAAGTAAAAACTAGTGATAAGAAAATAATTTTATCTTAAAGATTGTTAAGGCATCCTAATTAAGGCCTGAAACGGTGCCCGGAGGTGTGTTGGGAGTCAGAGTCTCCCAACACCTTAGTCCTAGTAAGATCATACCCTTTATTTGTTCTGTCCCCTCACCCCCACCAGTGTCCCTGATGGGCCTCTCTTCCATCCCAGTTTGTTTCAAGATTTTATGTATTCATGAGACACACACACACAGAGGCAGAGACACAGGCAGAGGGAGAAGTAGGTTCCCAGCGGGGTGCCCCATGCAGGACTCGATCCCAGGATGATCGAGTCGGGATAATCGATCGGGATCACGCCCTGAGCCAAAGGCAGACCCTCAACCGCTGAGCCTCTTCCCTCCATTTTTGGCTCCATGCACCCCACCTCTACTCTTCCGCTGCTTCCATGGGCTCCTTGGTTACGTTTGGTCACTGGTGGGTGTGAGGTAGGGCTCAGTTGATACAGCAAGGCACACAAGAGAGTCAGTGCTGCAAGGACTACTCTGATCTCTCGGTTGCCTTGCTTTCCTTCCTTTCCAAGACTCCTGTGACAGAGAGTAGAAGGGTTTCTTTGTCGCTGTGCTGCCTCATGTCCCATCTGCATTCCTTGCCCGGGACAATTTCCACTCCTCTGACTCCAGTTTACTACCACACACGATCAGAGTTAACGTTGTTTTGTAAGATCCTAGCCCTTGCCACAGATTCCAAGTTGCCTGATTTGTTTGGGGGAAAGATAAGGAAACAGACAATGGTTGAAACCTCTGCTCTGTGATGGCCCCGTCCTACACACATACCCTACAACATTTATGAGCAAGTCTTCAACGTCATTTCACCATTTACCTTTCAATCTGGTAAATGTTCTGGATGAAATGCTTTGTATTTTTATCTGCCCTTAGGTGGACAATTTTTATGATTAGCAAAAAGATTTAAAGATAGAATGGAAAAAATTAGTCAATAATTTTAAAACTTTATCTATATTCAAATTAGATTTTAGGCTGCAGTTCCAACTTTTATCCTAAAATCCAATTATTATATAAAATGGAAATATTTAATTTCTACTACTTTATGCTTCTCTGATAAGTGAAAGTGAATAAAGGCAGAGGAATATAAAAAAAACAGAGACAAAGAGGTAAATTACCCAGGAATAATGAGAAAATGACTTTATTAAGTAGAGACATGCCTTAAAAATTCTGATAGCTTTGTCACTGAGCAATCTATTTTGACTTGTGTAAATAAGCACCTTTAGACTGTACATTTCATGAAGTTAGGTATAGATCTGCTTTTTAATTAGAAAACCCAGCACCTTGAATGATTCCAAGCACCTGTGTGTGCTCAACTGGGCATGCTAATTGTTGAATTAAAAGATCTATTATAAAATGAATGTGAACAAATTTATAGTATGTTTATATCCAATAATAAAGGCACTGAAAATAGGAACAATTTTTAAAAAGTGTTGGTGCTAAAGTTTAGATATTTGTTGTTTTGGATTTTTAAGAAAGATTTTATTTATTTATTTGGAAGAAAGAGAATGCAGTCAAGGGGAGGAACAGAGGGAGAGGGCAGAGACCAATTCGGGGCTTGATCCCACAACCTTGAGATCATGACCTGAGCTGAAACCAAGAGTCGGACACTTAACCAATTGAGTCATGCAGGCACCCCAGTTGCTTTGGATTTTTGAAATAGAAATAGGAATTATTATAAAACTCAAAGGGGAACTGATTAGTTCAGATACATTCCACTGGAAATGACTCAAGATGTCATGATAAATGTTAGCTAGGATAAGCATCATCAATAGGTAAATGGGGCAGGAGATAGCACGCTGGTAAATTATCAACCGCTTTAGGGAAGCTAACCAGTAGAGTTAACTGGGGATTCAGCCTGGTAGCTTTTGCATTATCATGTCCTTTCCAAATTGAAATAAACTTGGTTGCAGGTTAGGTCTGCTGATTTCCCAAACACTCTAAAATAAGCAGCAGGATCATGAGTGTATTCCAGGGATAATATCAAATCATTGATTCCTCTTTTGTAGCTTTCCAGGAGACAGGAAAAGAGAAACAGCATGATAATTGCAAAAACTGTAATAGCTAGTTTCCCTCTAGCAATGAGTGTTACATAAACATTTAAATATAAATACAACATCTTGCCCATTCTCTAATGTTCCCGATGACTCATTAGACATCCTCCATTATAGACGCTCTGTTCTCTGAATTGAATTTCCTACCAGGAGAAAACTTTCGAAGGAGTCAATTATTATAGTCAGGGAATAGTCCTCACTCACAAACAGTGCAGGTGACCGGCCAAATAATGTCATTCTGAAGTCATTATTCTGGAAGTAACAATATACTGTGCTAGTTTTCCACTGTAATCATGACTCAGTACTTATTTTTGGGGAAAATTTGGAATCACAGCTGAGAAATATTACAAGAGGTTGCAAGAGTTTCACCGGCTTTTTACAGATTGTAGAATAAATTCATCTGTCCAGGAAATGAAATACTCATATATGCATTTGAGTACATTGAGTTTTTTTTTTGAGGTATTTCTATAGGAACATATATACACACATCCAAAGACATGGAGGTAATGGGATAGGAGCAAAGCTACATTTCTCGCTTAAACATCCACAGCTGTGTACACATGTACAGGATCGTGCAATTGAGACATCTAATAACATCTCTTGCCGGTGATGGTAACAAAGAGAAAAATAAATCAACCTGAGTTGGCCCATCTCTCCCTAGGATTGATTGAATGAATGTTGGTGAAGATGCTAAAATGTCCAAAAACTATTATCAAGACAAAAGAAAGAGTAAAGAATGGACACTGGAAGATCTGTATGTGTAATCATTTGCTCTCAAAGTATCTGAAGTTGGATCTATAAAAGTTGTCCTTTTTTTTCTTTTTTTAAAATTTAAATTCAATTTGCCAACATAGAGTATAACACCCAGTGCTCATCTCATCCCATCAAGTGCCCTCCTTAGTGCCCGTCACCTAGTCACCACAGCCCCTCAACCTGCCTTCCCTATCGCACCCCTTTGCTTGTTTCCCAGAGTTAGGAGTCTCTCATGGTTTGTCTTCCTCTCTAACTCATAAAGGTTGTCTTAAATACACAGAGCCAGGTGTTAAGCTGGGGTTCCTGTCATTTGAGACTTAAATAAGATTGCTTCAACTACAAATTATATATATCCCCCCCCCCCCCCAAGATCGGTGTGGATTCCCAGGGCTTTGTGTTCACATATTCATCCTTCGCTTTGATTTCCTGTTGGGGGACCTTTCCTTCCTGCTGGTGTCTTGCCTGGGGCTTGCTCGCTATTGTCACTCATTGAGGGGGACGCTCATGGGTTCCTCCTCACCTCTCACTCTCGTCGCAGGTAGATCACTAAGGTGTGGTGGTTGGCAGAGCCTCAGATGGCAAAGCACAGCAGATGATGTAAGGTGGAATATAGAACTTCTTTCACAGTCTTTGGCTGCTGTAGAGGATTTCTCCTTGGCTAAAATTTCTTCTTCCTGTCTTTTGACCCCTTTCCATGCTGCGGTCCTCAAAATTTCCCCTATGTCTCCTTGGTAGGA